GCGTAGAGCGGTTCAGGTGTTTGGGAACTTGGGTGACTTCGGCGTTGGGCGCGACACCGAGGCTTTGAATGTGCTTCTGTCGTGTCTGTGTCGAAGGTCGCATGTTGCTGCTGCAATGTCTGTTTTCAATTCAATGAAAGGGAAGGTGCGTTTTGACGTTGAAACATATAATGTTGTTGCTGGGGGGTGGTGCAGATTAGGTAGAGTGAGTGAGGTTGAGAGGATTATGAGGGAAATGGAGGAGGGTGGAATTTGCGCCAATTGCAGGACGTTTGGTTTGCTTATTGAGAGTTTGGGGAGAGCTGGTAGGATGGATGAGGCTGTTAAGGTTTTGTCTGATATGAAGGAGAAGAATTGCCAGCCAGATACTGCTACTTATAATGCAGTGATTTTCAATTTTGCGTCTTTTAGGGATTTTGAAGGGTGTATGGAGTATTATAATAGGATGTTGAGTGATAATTGTGAGCCTAATCTTGATACTTTTGCTAGAATAATAGCCTTGTTTCTTAGGGTGCGGAAGGTGGCGGATGCGCTTCAGATGTTTGATGAAATGTTGAGGCGAGGAGTTGTGCCTTCTACTGGGACCATAACGGACTTTATCAAACGTTTGTGTAGCTATGGTCCTCCATATGCTGCTTTGATGATATACAAGAAGGCGAGAAAATTGGGGTGTGTGATATCGATGGAAGCTTATAAGATACTGCTCATGCGGCTTTCTAAGCTTGGAAAATGTGGAATGTTGTTGAGTATCTGGGAGGAGATGCAAGAATGTGGGTATAGTTCAGATGTTGAAGTTTATGAGTACATCATTAGTGGTCTTTGCAACGTGGGACAACTGGAAAGTGCTGTTCTTGTTATGGAGGAGTCTTTCCGCAAGGGGTTCTGCCCAAGCAGGCTAGTATATAGTAAGCTAAGTAACAAGCTGCTTGCTTCTAACAAAACAGAGAGGGCTTACAAGTTGTTTTTGAAGATCAAACATGCCCGTTCCCTTGAAAATGCGAGAAATTATTGGCGGGCTAATGGTTGGCACTTTTGAACAAGGTTGTTAATGTTGGCTGAGTGGAATATATTCTTCTATAACATTGAATTATTGTGGTCAAATTGAACTGCTGTTTATCTTTTTGTGCAGAGTTCATGTGGTCGAACGGTAAAGAGAAATAACTAGGGTGAATAGAGTTGTCACTATGACTAATTTCACATGAGGTCAAATTACTTGTTAATTCTAAATGAATCGTTAACCATGTAGAATGATAGTTTAAGATATATTTCTGTTCTTTGTACTCCTTAAGTTGTTAAATAAGGGAGAAAGAAGCACCACAATATACTGTCCTTGGTATTTTGGATAAACTATTCTGTATTCCTTGACTTAATATTGTGTAGACATAATAAACATGAAATAATTTTCTATGTTGTACTTTTAATAGGAAAGTATTGTGAGGCTGTGTTAGGAATGTGTCGTGAATACTGACAAAAAGTTAGCGGTAGAGTTGAGGATATCCACTCACACATCGCTACAACTTAGGTCATGCTGTAAGTATGTCAGCCGGGATTATATTTTTCTCATGAATGTAAAGGTATTGATTAATTTTATTGAAATGCAAAAAAAATAATTTGAAGCAGTTTGAATTGAAGATTGAATTCAGATGATGTTATGTGTCAAATGTATTTAAGGCGAGCTTGCTATGTCATGAGTCGTGACCTCCTTTAATGCTTATACTTTTCCATATATAAATCTTCTTTAAAATGTAGGGTGCAGTCTAGAGAATAACATAAATTGCATAATGGTAGTAGTGAAAAAAGACCAACTGTTCAGTTTCAGAATATATAAGTAGAGTGGCCAAATCTGTGGGTGTTTTGGAACCTACGGGGTTTTGTCATTAGTGAGACAGTCACCTTACTTCTGTTTTACTCTGAAGTGTACTTATACTTTCCTGGATCTGAACCAATCTTCAGGGACTTATTGATTCATCTGTTTGGTTGGTGTAATGTTTCTAAAACTTGAAGACAGATTCATCATTCACATGACAAAGTTGTGCATTTGGTGCACGGCAAAATTTGTAAACTTGTTTTTTCTGTTTCTTTAGCCATAGCATTTAGCTCATTATTTTTAAGTTTAATTCCACAATTCTCTTTTACAAACTATGTTAACTTGGGTCAATTATATTCTTATAATAAGTATAAACTAATTTGAGTTCTTAATTAGATGATTAGCTCTTCATCCAGCATTGAATATTTCCTCTATTTTTATTTTCTTTTTTGCAACTTTTGTGGTATTATGGAGATTTGATGTTATATCTTCTTTATTTTGGGCAAACGATGAGCTTCTATTTTCATTTTGTTGCGAGCAAACCCTATGTAATACACAAACCTTTATACTAGAAATTGGTAGTTTGGAACCTTTACCCTCTGGGCACCTAGGTTTTACCACCACCAAGAGTTGGGCATGTCAATAATTGAATTGAATCTATATGTGAAGGACCGATTGTGTTTTTATTTAATCATAATGATGGGCCACGCTTTAAATTATGACTTGTGAGTGACAGTGTGTGTGTGACAAGGAATTTTTGGGAATTGGAACTAAAAATATTTCTGCTACGCAGTGGTTTTTGTCAGTGAAAAACCAAGCAGCACAAAATTATTTTACTTAATTAACTTGTGTGTGCGCTCCTAGTGGGACAAGACTTTTGTTTTTAACTTACTAAACTTCTTATAATGGTAGAATATATTGCTATTCACAATACTAACTCTTTTTGAATTACAGACGCTGCTGCAACCCACTGCACCTCTTGCTTTGCTTCCTGTCTCTTCTAAGTGTTATTTGAAGTGATTGGTGGTGAGAGACTGAAGATTTTGCATTTAATGAATTGACGTTGGGTTTATGAGTGGGTGCTTGTCATTTCCTTGCACAAGAAAGAGAATGTGTAATAGTTTAATTAAGTGATCAATGTACCCAAAGTTGAAATGAGAAATACTATTCTGAATGATATTGAATATTCTGAGTAAATGAGTAACGATGAACCACAATCAGTAGTTTTACAGGGCAAAATACGTAAATAAAGAAAGAAATATAGCACTAGCAGAAAAACAATGCAAAGAGAAGAAACACAATCAATCCATCCCATTCTCTCTCCTTAACAAACTAGACTCTAGATCAATCAAAATCTTGTAGCCTAGAGTTAGTTATTTTGATTCTCGTGCCTTTCCTCACTCCCTTATTATTAGGATCTGCTACTAGGTGTCCTTGTTGAGTTGTATCTTCAATTGACTCTTTTGTCCCTGCTATACTTGTTACAATTCCTCCCCCATTAAGACCAACCTTGTCCTTACACTTGTTACAATTCCTCCCTCATTAAGACCAACCTTGTCCTCAAGGTTGAGATTAGGAAAAGCTTGTTGTAGAGTGAAATGATCCTCCCAAGTTGCATTAGCTGCATCTAATCCTTCCCACTAAACTAGATATTGTTGAATTTTATGTTGCCCTCTCAATATGACCCGAGATTGTAATATAGCAAAAGGCTGAATGACAGGTTGCAGATCAGTATTATTGATTGGTAGTGACACATATGGTTGAGAATGATCCCCTTTATAAGGTTTCAATTGAGAACAATGGAACACTAGATGAATTCTAGTTGTTAGTGGTAACAACAGTTTATAAGCAACATGTCCAATTCTTTGAATAATAGGAAAAGGACCAAAAGACTTCATACTCAGCTTTTGATTTTTTCTAAGAGCAACAGAATGTTGTCTATAGGGCTATAATTTGACAAAAACCATGTCACCAATTTGCAATTTCATTAACTTCCTTTTCTTATCAGCATCTTTCTTCATGTACTGTTGAGCCTTGTGGAGGTTAAATTTCAATCTACTAAGTGTCAAGTCCCTTTGTAGTGATTGTTCTTGAACTGAAGTGGGATCACTTTGATTAAGGGTGTACTTAACCAATGTAGGAGGATCTCTACCATAAACAATCTTAAATTGAGTCATGCCACTACTATGATGATAGGAAGTGTTATACCAATACTCTGCCCAAGGTAACAACCTTGCCCAATCTTTAGGAGAGTCATAAGTGAAACATTTCAAGTACATTTCCAAACACTTGTTCAATGATTCAGACTGGCCATCTAACTATGGGTGGTAAGCAATAGATATGAGTAGATAAGTACCACTTAATTTGAACAATTGTTGCCAAAATTGACTAAGAAACACTTTGTCCCTATAAGAAACAATAGTCTTAGGCATGCCATGCAGTTTTACAATAGTTTGTTAAAACCTTTTCCATTGACTTGCTAGAGTAATCAGCCTTTAAGGTAGAAAAATGGGCATACTTTGATAACCTATCAATTACAACTAATATGACAGTAAAACCATTTGAGGAAGGAAGGCTCGTGATGAAATTCATAGTTATGTCATCCCAAATTTGTTCTAGAATTGGGAGTGGTTGTAATAGACTCGTAGGTAAAGTGTGAGCAGTTTTTAGGCATGACAATCTAACCCACCCCGATTTGGATGGGGAAAACCTATGTTTATTGGGTTCGGGTTCAGGTTTTCCCCGATTGATAAAATCGGGGGAAGAGGTGGGGGCGAGGATGTTAATACCCACCCCGCCCCCGCCCCCGCCCCGCTTAATAATATAATTAAAAATTATTTATATATATATATATATATAAACCAAAATTATAAATATTTATATGTAAAAATTCATATTATTTTACTTTTCTTTCATTTTTTTTAAATTGTTTATATTTATTTAAAAGAAAAAAAGAAGGAAAAAAAATAGGAACGGGGGCTGCGGCGAGGCAGGGAAACCCGAACCCCACTAGGGGCGGGGA